CATACCTACATGAGCCTACCTACATGTAGAGGGGCAGTACTTATCCCTGGATTCAATAGCTTGACATGGCCGTCTTATATAAACGATGCAAGCCCCTCGGTCAAGCTCTTGGGAGCTCTCTGACTCCAGGCTCCTGGTTTCTGAAGATCATAACCAGCATTCGAGCAAGGCTCGGATCGACCAACGACAATGCGTCCCAGCTCGGCGCTCCCAATGCTGGCCCTGGGCTCGGTTGCCCGGGCCGCGAGCTCTCCTGAGGATGGTAGACTCTCTCCTCGAGATGTCAAACACTTCGAGAGAGCCCTTGAGACCAGGGGCTTGGCGGAGGATATCTGGAACCAGATCAAGAACGCGGCAACTTGCACCGCGTGTCAGGTTGGCATGCCCTTTCCAATCTGCATCCTACCTTCGTATAGCTTGACATTGACATCAATGGCCTCAGGGTATTCTTGTCCTTCTCAAGGGACTCGCCGCCTTCGGAGACGGAGCGTTCGTTGACGTGACTACTGCTATCTGCCAGCTCGCCAATGTCAGTACCAAGACGAAGCTCTCTTCTAACCGGTCTCAGCTAAAACAAGTCTCCAGGTCGAAGATGACGATGTTTGCGAGGGCACCATTGCGCTCGAGGGTCCCATCATTGCCAAGTCCATTCGAAACATGGACCTCGGCTCTACGACGTCGCAGCTGTTCTGCGGCTCGTTCCTCGGACTCTGCGCCGAGCCCGCTGTTCCTCAATGGAAGATTCCCTTTCCCTCTCCCAAACCACAAACCGTTCGTCCTGCGCCGAGTGGGAAGAAGCCTTCCAAGGTGGTCCATTATTCGGACATCCACATTGATCCCCTCTATGTGGCGGGCTCGACTACGAACTGCACCAAGCCTATCTGCTGCAGGTGAGTCGGCTCTGAATAGAAGGGGTTACGGCAAGGACTTGAGGAGGTTGGACTGACAATGCATCGTGAAAAGACCTTATACCGATGCTGACGAGCCTGGTACTTCGACCACACCAGCTGGACCCAATGGAGACCACAAGTGCGATACTCCCATCGGCTTGGAACTGAGCATGTATCAAGCCATC